GACCCTGGTTTTTCCCCGTATCCTAATTCATATTCTCCAATGGGACACATCCATAGCCAAGAGTCATCAATCATGTTCTCAGGTTAGAATTTTGCGGGGCAGAAACTTCAGTCACCTCGTTACTATCTTTGAAAAACATTGATGGAATGCAGTTCCGGATTGCAAGCTGCCGCACTGCTCCCCTCTCCCTTTCTGTCGGCAACTCTAAAAAGACCAGAGAAATATTTTATGAGTTGACAGATTGTTTAGCAACCAGTTGAAGTTACAGCAGCCCAGAAAAAAGTGACTTGCAACCGGTTCTTGCATTTAACAACTGTCATGGCACCCCCCCCCAGAGTCATGTGATCAAAATTTGGCAACTCTTGGCAACTGGCAAGCATTTACACCGGTTGCAAGGATCCTGCGATCGTCATTTGCAAACCTTCCCAGATGGTTTCCAATAAAAGAAGTCAATGGGGGAAGCCGGATTTGCTTAACGATTGCATGATTCGCTTAAACAACTGAAGGGATCCGCTTAACCAACACTGCAAAAAAAGGTCATAAAATCTGCTGCGACTAACTTAACAACCATGCTTGGCAATGGAAATTCTGACCCGAGTTATGATCGTAAGCCGAGCGCCAACTGTGTTGTCTTCCAACACATGCATCCCAGTGGTGGGATTCACATTATTTTACTACCGGGTTCTGTGGGCGTGGCGTGGCTTGGTGGGCGTGGCAGGGGAAGGATATACTGCAAAATCCCCATTCCCTCCCCACCCCACTAACCTGCTTTCCAGCTCCATTCTCCTGTGAAGGGCAACCAAAGGAGACCCAGCCGATCAGCTGGGTCTCAATGGGAGACAGAGATGAGATGGGATTGGCGGGGCCAGTCGGAGGTGGGATTTGACGGTTCTCCAAACTATTCAAAATTTCCACTACCGGTTCTCCAGAACTGGTCAGAACCTGCTGAATGCCCACCTCTGATGCACCCCCAATTCCGCAGAAGATTTCTAGTGTGCCACTCCAATAAACAGGAGCCGCAATGTTGCGTAAGAGAATTCCCTGTGGCTTTGTACATCAAAGGTCTGCCCACCTAGGACAGCCATATTAGACAACTGTTTCTTCCGGATTTGTGGCACAACCACTGCTGTCTTTTGTGGCTGGTGAAACTCTGCAAAGGCAAGCAAAGAAAACGCCACACTGGATGGTAGCTTCAGCTCGGTGAGGATTTTATTGGCAAGACAAGCCATACGGAACAATTGTAGATGCGGGCCTCTTTCCCCCCACCCAGAATTAAACTAAAAACACCCTTTCGATCAATTCTAGTGAAGCTAGGCAGCTTCAGGGGAGCACATCCTTCAAAATCGGTCAAGCCAAGGGACCCCCCAATCTTTTTTCTTAAATTTCAGAGGCTTCATCGGTAGCTTTCAAACCAGGAAAAATCAGCGGCGGCTTACAAATACGTTTGTGATTGTGGGCAAGATAAAATTCCTGTTTTCCTTCACTCCATCTGAGCAAGCTTAGCCAGGATTCTGGGTGATTAGTGCCCCAGCCGAGAAGACACACATAGCACCATTCACACAGAGTCCAAAGCCAGCTTAGCTTTTTTTATTTTTTTTATCATTCTGCGTCAGCTGAGCATTACTGAGCATAAAAATGGCGTGAAAGGCAAGCGGTGCTTGAAAGGAAGACAAACTAACTGAGGTAGGATGCTGGGCCCGAATCTACCAGATGCTGCTAGGCTGTTACCTACCACCAGCAAAGGACAATTTCGATTGTTCCTGCTAGGAAGAGAAATTGGACCGGTTCCAATGTGCAAGTTTTGACATGAGATTGTGTCTCTCCACGCAACAGCTCTGTGAAAGGACACCAGGGATGGAGGAGGCTTAAAAGGTCTTAGTATCTTGACACACAAACCATCTCCATCCCTTCCTTTTTGCCACAACTTTGCATCCCCTGATAATATTATCCTCAGCAATCTGAGCAAGAGGTTTTGGAGAAACACCCATTTCTAGATGTTTCCTGGACCTTGGCTGCTGTCTCCAGAGGTGACAGATATCACTGGATTGGGAAGAGTCGGGAGACGAAGAGCGAAAATAAGAAACATCTGGTACGGGAGATGCCACCAGCGATGGTTTTGGTCCTTTACTTCTGCTTCTGGAGATGGGACCGAGATTTTGGAGAAGATTTTTGGGAACAACACGGACCTTAATGCCAAAGGAGAAGAAGGAATTGCTGGCGTTTTTTTTTTTTAATGTGAGGTGAGCCTAATTGGGAAGAATATTTTAATCCCTTATCGTGAATACAGGTCGTCCTTGACTTACATACAGTTCGTTTAGTGACCGTTCTAAGTTACAGTGGCACTGAAAAAAGTGACACGACTGTTTTTGACATGATCATTGCCACATCCTCATGATCACTTGATCAAAATTCAGGCCCTTGGCAACTGACTCCCATATGCGATGGATGCAGAGTCCTGGGTATCATGCCCCCTCAGAGTCTGAATCCGAGAAGGAAGATGAACAGGTGACAGGAAGCAGGAATGTGGCTGTGTTGGCTGTGGAGGAAACTGGGGAAGGGCAAAGTCTGGCTGGACAGAGCAGGGGAGAGGTAGAACAAGGGAGAGGGAGTTCAGAGGAAGACCCAGCCCCCCCCTCTTCATCCTAGGGCACGCAGGGAGGAACGGAAAACAGAGCAACGTGGGTTGCGTGGCTTATGAGGGAGGAAAGGGCCCTGATTCCCTTCATTAGCCACACCTGGGAAGAGAGTTTAAAAGAGATGCATGCTGAGTGCAAAAGCTGCTGGGAGCAAATGTGAGTTTATGTTGTGTTAACTTTGCTTATCTGCGTTCCTGGCATCCTCCCAACCGCGTTGAGTTATTGCTGTGCCTTCACATCTGGAATTCTTGCTTCTGACCTGCCGGACTAATTACTTCCTTTCGCCTTGATTGGACTTATAGTTACAGTTTTTGTTGACCACGTTTGGACTTGATTCTCTGCAGCCAAAGGCTGTTCCTGGGAGAGTTTTTCTCCAATCCAGAAGGTAACCAGGACATTGGGGACAAAGTTGGAGCCAATAAAGGGACTCCTACCAATTATCTGACTGTGTTGCCTTTGTGCCACGCCCCCCTTGGGTCATCACACTCATGATCACATGATCAAAATTCAGACCCTTGGCAACTGACTCTTATATATGACGGACGAGGAGCCCCAGGTTTCATGTATCTCCCTTTTGTGACCTGCCAAGCAAAGTCAATGGGGAAGCCAGATTCACTTAACGACCGTGTTACTAACTGCTGTGATTCACTTTACAACGGTGGCAAGAAAGGTAATAAAACGGAGCAAAGCTCACTTAAGAACTTTCTCTCTCAGCAACACGAAACCTTGGGCTCGTCCTTTTGCAGGTCGTAAGTCAAGGAGCACCTATGCTCAAATGTTGAGTGAACCTTTCAAATGGGAAGGGAAGGGATAGCTCACTTTGTGGCCCAGGTAGGAGTGGTTCTAAGTATCTTGATCGCCCCTTCAGCCGATCGCCCTCAGCTTGTGTCAAACCCAAACCACAGAAAGTGCTTCTGCCTGCGGGGCTGAGCATGAAAGAGGACGGCGGTTACGTTATTTAGATCAAAGTTCTACCGGAGTCTTTGTATGGAAGGGTGATTCAGATCAAAGTTCAGCCCCCGAGGCTTTGAGAGAGGTTAGGCAAGATACAAAAATGTGAGTGCTGGTAACCCTCCAGCTTATCCGCCTGCGTTAAGTAAATTCAGTCAGAACTGAAGGAGCTGCATGGATGAAAAAGCAAAACGACTTCAAAGAAGGGAAAAAAAACAAACCCAAGAAAGTCCAGTTGCCTTTTGGGAAGAAAAAATAAAGTACCTTTGGGACAAACATGACTTGGAGGACTGAGAATCTTTAGTCCCCAGACTTTAGGCAAAGGGCACAATCTCTTGGTGGAAAGGCCCAGAGATTCCTATGGGGCACACACCGAGGTTGTGTAAGTCAGGTAACCCAGTCCGTTCATCTGTTGCGTTGGGATTTTGGGTTCTAGGCCAAGCTTTCCAACCATGGTACTTTCAAGAAAAACACATTTTTTTTTTCTGGAGGGAAGAATTAGCATAGGCTCAACGGTAGAGAATGCTCATCTCCACTTTCCAAGGCGGTTGTAAGAACTGGCCAAAACATGGAATCCCCAGGTTTAAGAGAAACAAGAGGCCAGTACGTTCTGTTCAACCCACATCTGTCATGGGAATGCTGGAATTAGTGATGGTTCATAAATACTGGGAATAGAAAGTGGGTTGTAATCGTCTCCTTCGAGAAAGCCAAGGTGCAGAAGATACCAAGTCAAGGAGTACAGACTCCAGCTGGCAAACAAGACATATCTTGGGGGTGGGGTGGGGGAATATTAGCTTTCAGACCATGTCTTTTATACTCTTTACTTTCATATCTGTTGATCGTGGGTGCTTCTCCAAGAAGGCAAGATCCCAGGAGCAGAAGATTCTGATTCAATCGCATGGATGAGACAGCTGCTGGTCACACGGGAGTAACGTAATTCCCAGGGAAAGTGCCAAATTTCTGCGTCCTTCTAGAGACCCCTAGTGCAGGAAAAGAAAAGAAAAAAAAACGCAGAAGAGATCCATGAAGAAAGAATAGAGGTTCAAGATTCGGAGGGTTATTTTTTTTTTCCCTTGGAAGATTCTGGACCAGCCTCTTGAAATTAAAAAAAAAAAAAGATATCTAAAGAAGACAATATCTTACTCTGCTACCTCTTGTGCCCCAGCTTCAAAGTTTTAGACAATATTCCTTTCTCATCCTGCATATTTTATATATACAGTATATTTGCTTTGCTGCTCTGTGACTGTAATAAAGATTGATCTGATAACAGATAAACAGAGTTGGAAGGGACCTTGTAGGTCATCTAGTCCAACCCCCACCCCCCACCCAATCAGAGACCCTACACCATTTCTGACAGATGGCAGTCCAGTCTCTTCTTGAAAGCTTCCAGCGATGAAGCTCCCACAACTTTTGAAGGCAACTTCTGTTCCACTGGTTGATTGTTCTCAGAAAATTTTTCCTTATTTCTAGGTTGAATCTCTCCCTTGGTCAGTTTCCATCCATTATTCCTTGTCTGGCCTTCGGGTGCCTAGGAAAATAGCTTGGCCCCTTCCTCCTCTCTGGGGCAGCCCTTCAAATATTGGAAGACTGCTATCCTGTCTCCCCTGGTCCTTCTCTTCCCTAGACTAGCCAGGCCCAGTTCCTGCAACCATTCATTGTGTGTTTTAGCTTCCAGTCCCTTAATCATCCTGGTTGCTCTTCTCTTCTCTACAAAGAGTCTCAACATCTTTTTTTTATAGTGTGGTGACCAAAACTGGATGCAGTATGATGTTTTATTTAAATTTATATTTAAATTATATTTTCTATGTACAATGAGTTTAGTTAGGGTTTGTATATCAGAGATGGCATGACCTCTGTAGATGCAACATGCTAAATTAAATCAGCAATAAAACCTGTTTGAGTGGTTTTTCGTGTGGTAGTATTGCTACTCAGGACATGGTTGAGATGGCAGGAGATCTTCTCCATTCATTCAGGTCCTAGATCAGGAATGGCAGCCTAGTAATGAGGAGCACCAATGTGTTTACAACTATCTCTTTTGGAGACTGTCACATAATACGACTGGCCACACCTATCTTTTAATCCTATTCTTCAGGTGCCTTCAATTAAAACTAAATGCAAAGCTGGCTAGAGGCAAGCCTTCGGAGGTCTACCCTAAATCTTCTCCACTTTCAACACTGGAGGTTTTGAAGAAGAGATTGGTCAACCATTTGTCTGAAATGGTGGAGGACAGGGGTGTCAAGGTGGCAGCCCGTGGGCTGGATGTGTCATGCGCAGCCAACGCCCACCCCAGCTCCACGAATGGGAAAAACATCTCAAAACATCACGTGGCAGCAAAATGACATGGCGGATTTGACACCCATGGTATAGGGCCTCCAACCTTGGCCACTTGAAGCCTGGAGGACTTCAACTCCCGGGACTTCAACTCTCTCGTTGGAGACCCCTGGTATAGGGCATCCTCCCCTAAGCAGGGGGTTGGATTACAACTCCAAGATTTAACTTTTTTGTTCTGTTAAATAAGGCAGAGGCGTCTCATCTGAAGCTACAGGATACGTGTAGACCTCAAAAGCCTTGGATACAGCCCAGTGGTAGGAGTCAAACATTTTTACTACCGGTTCTGTGGACGTGGCTTGGTGGGCATGGTGTGCTGGGTGTGGCTTGGTGGGCGTGGCAGGGGAAGGATATTGCAAAATCTCTATTCTCCACTCCACTCCTGGGGGAAGGATACTGAAAAATCCCCCTTCCCTCCCCACCCCACTAACCTGCTTTCCAGCTCTGTTCTCCTGTGCAGGGCAACCCAAGGAGACCCAGCCGATCAGCTGGGACTCAATGGGAGGCAGAGAAGAGATAGGGGCAGGGCCAGTCAGAGGTGACATTTGCCGGTTCTCCGAACTACTCAAAATTTCCACTACTGGTTCTCCAAAACCGGTCAGAACCTGCTGAACACCACCTCTGAGACAGTTTTAGAAATCCACAGATGCTACTAAAGTCTTACTAGGGGGAGGAAAAAATCACATCACTGGAGGATAACCCCATGCATTATGTCTAAGCTTAATCCAACTGGAACGTAAATCAAATGTAGGTTTTATGTCAGTTTTGGCACGGGAGGGCAGCCTCTGACTCCAAAGGTATGGAAGAAATTGCAAGCTACTAAAACCTGCCACCGGCCGTCTCCACAGATCTAGACCTACCCACAAACCATCCATCATCGCACTGTTGCATCACATCTACGCGATCACCTTCCTGAAGCTCCAATTCATCTTCGTTCTGAGGTCGGTAATGGTAGAGAGCTTGGTACCTGCAGCACACAAGCCATGGGTGAGGACGTCTCCTTCTCTTCTATTTAGCATCTAATACAAGTAGTCCTTAACTTATGACAGGTTTGCTCAGTGACCATTCGAATCTGCAACGGAAACTCCCTTCTCCCAAAGTACAGGGGCACCTCGGCACTCGATGCTTCGAAACTCACGGAATTTGGTACTCGGTGCATTTGATGTAAAAATTTCACCCCGGTACTCGTTTGTTTAGTACTTGACACACAAGCTGGAACTTGTTGGCATTGACTGCCTTGTGAGCCACTCCATTATTCCTTAGGGGAAATATTTGCTTGGTGCTCTTCACTTCTGGCACTCATCACGCCTTCCAAATCAACAATGAGTACCAAGGTACCCCTGTACTTACAACCCAGTTCCGATGTTCTGATGACCAACCCTCCACTCCTACGGCCACATGCACTGCCTTTTGGTGATTAACAACTGCAGCGTTGGCTTTAATGATCACCACAAGGAAAGAAAAGATCGTAAAATGGGGGCCAATCACACGATGACTTGTCCTGTGACCATCACGGCTGACGATATTATGCTCCTAAGTCGAGGACGACCTGTGTACGTACATACATACTAGTTTTTCCCTATACCCCAATTAAAACAGTTTTTTTTTTCTCCTCTAAAGGAATGCCAAAGGTGCTTTTTTCAAGAGGCAACTGGACTTTCTGGTTTTTCTTTGAAGACGTTTTGCTTCTCACCCAAGAAGCTTCCTCAGCTCTGACTGGATGATGAGGGAAGGGAAGGATTTATACCCCTTGCAGGCAGCTGGTCATTTGCATTTTGCAATATAAATCCTTCCATTCCCCACCGCCCAGTCAGAGCTGAAGAAGCTTCTTGGATGAGAAGCGAAACGTCTTCAAAAGAAAAAAAAAACCCAAGAAAGTCCAGTTGCCTCCTGAAAAAAGCACCTTTGGGTCAACTGTGACCTGGAGGACTGAGAATCTCTACAGACTTTTAGCTATGCAATTTGGGATGGACACCCTTGGAATAGTGTGGGAGTAGGAATGGATTTCCAGAGGAAGAAAAAAACGGCAGACTACAGGAACCATTTGCACTACACAGGTGACCCCGAGGACAGAGATAAACCTCCAAGTGGCCTCAACGACCCTCTAAAAAGGTGCAAATGACCAGCGGTCTGCAAGGAGTATAAATCCTTCCCTTCCCCCATCATCCAGTCAGAGCTGAAGAAGCTCCTTGGAAGAGAAGCAAAACATCTTCAAAGAAAAACCAGAAAGTCCAGTTGCCTCCTGAAAAAAGCACCTTTGGGACAACCAGGACGTGGAGCACTTGAGAATCTCTACAAACTTTTCCTAAGGGAAATAAACTTTAAGTCGCTTCTGCCGGCAGGCCAGATGAGGGACGCCACGCTGTGTTTCGTGCGTGGAAAAGAAATGGGCAGAGGCGCGCCATCTCCTTGCCCTCCCCGCTCCCCAAATATTGGGGTGGGGGAAGAGGTAGAGAGACATAGACCCTGCCTCTTGGAAACCTTGAGCTGTCCTCAGCCTTTCAAGCCGGCGTTGGCAATGCTTGGCACCGGTGAAGCAGCCAGCCGGCTTCTGTTCTCCTAGGCTCTGAGCAAGCCCCTCTGAAAAAGGCCCCTTGTTTTGAACAATCCAGACACTGTCCAAGCCTGGCACTCGGGGTGGGTGGGGAGGGGAGTTGTCTACAGCCCTCCCCCATTCCGTCCTCCCCTCCCTGTGGGTCACTTCCGGGGGAAGGTGGGGCTGGCCAGCTGCCAGCAGGAGCCCAGCTCTCCCTTCCCCGACACTGCGAATCGGCCTGGCTTACGGAGTCCACTGGATGCCGGAGGGGGACTGGTCTCTGGAGGCGTGGGGGGGGCTCCGCGGCTTTGAAGTGGGGGAAAACGCCGCTTCCAGGGCGGAATTCTGCCAAAAAAAGAAAAGAAAAAAGGAACCGGGATGAGAACACGGCGCAGCAGAAAGTAATAAAACACAGGTGGGAGGGAGGGAAGGTTGACCTGAATCAGAATAGAACTGGAAAGAGACCTTGGGGGACATCTAGTCCAACCTCCTACTGAAGCAGGAGATCCTATACCCGTAATGGCGAACCGATGGCAGCCATTTGTGCAGGCACGGGAGCTCCAGCCAAACTTACCTGCACTGCGCATGCGCGTGCCTCGCAGCTGATTTTCGGCCTGTTTGAGGCCTTTTACGGCCTCCCTGAGGTTTGAGGGAAGCCGCTGCAGCCTTGGGGGGCAGAAAAACGGGCCTTCTGGAAATACCGGAAGTGCCTGTTTTCAGCCTCCAGCGGGGTCTCTGGAGAGGCCATATTCACCCTCCTTGGGCTCTGCAGCCTTTGGAAGTGACAAAACAACGGGCCTGTTTTGTCACTTCCGGTATTTCAGGGGTGCTGCGCGCACATACACAGGAGGGGGAAAGAGCACATTGCATTGTGGGTGCCGGCACACAAGCTTTTGGTACACCATGCCAAAATGGTTCGCCATCACTGATCTATACCAATTCCAGGCAATCCTGGAGGAAGAGCCCAGGAAAATTCAACGCAGAATGCAGGTAGTTCTGGACTTACGACCACAATCGAACCAAAGCTTCCCTGTTGCTAAGGAGAAGACAACTGTTGGGTGAATTTTGCCGCATGGTGTGACCTTTTTGGTTAAGTGAATCACCGCAGATATTAAGTTACTCGCACGATTGTCAAGTAAACTGGGCTTCATTACTGACTTGGCTTGTCAGAAGGCCGCAAAAGGGTCAGCTGCCAATCATCCGAATTTTGATGATGTGACCACGGGGATGCTACAATGCTTGTATGTGCTAAATATGGCCGTAAGCCACAGTTTTCAGTGCCGTTGTAACTTTGGTTACTGAATAAATAGTTGTAAGTTGAGAACTGACTACCTGTACAGAATAACAGAGTTGGAAAGGATCTTGAAAGTCTTGTAGTCCAACCCCTGGCTTGGGCGGGAGAGGGAAGGGAGGGAGTGGAGGTGTGGCTCTGGAGGTTGTGGAGGAGGCTGGAGAAGGGCAGAGGCCGGCTGGGCAGTCAGAGGAAGAACCAGGCCCATCCCCTCTTCATCCTAGGACACGCAGGGAGGAATGGAGAAGGCAACAACTTGGCTTACGAGAGAGGAAGCGGCCCTGATCCCTCTCATTGGTTGCAGCTGGGGAGAATAGTATATAAGAGAGAAGGTTAAAACACAGAGTTGCCAGAAGTAAAGCGTGTTTTATTTTGGGCTGAAGTTATCTTGGTTGGTGTCCTTCCAACAGATTGTGCCTTGTTATCTGCTTGAATTTGGTAATCAGTTATCCTGGTCTGTTGTGGAACTTTCTTCATTGTAGTTTGTTTTGGTTTTTTATTTCACCTTTATCTGCTCATTAAGTTCGGACTGCATTGCTTTCTTTTGAAGACTATTTTTGAATCAGTTTTATCTCCAACTGAGAATTATTGAACAGTGGGGCCAAGTTGGAGGCATTAAAAGACACTTATTTACGTTTTGGATTTTGTTACGTTTGTGTTACACTCTGGGTCATCATAGCTACTGAAAGACACCACTAAAGTCAGAAGCTCCCAAAAGTGCTTTTTCAAAAGTCAACTGGACTTTGCTTTTCCTTGAAGATGTTTCGCTTTTCGCCCGAGAAGCCTTTTCAGCTCTTCAAAGGGCACTTCTTCGGAACGGAGTTCACGGGATCAAAATTCTGACGCTTGTCTCTTATTTATGACGGTATTGCAGTGTCCTGGGTTCACTTTTGTGACCTTTTGACAAGCAAAGTCAATCAGGGAGCCAGATTCACTTAACGTCCGTGTTACTAAAACTAACAAGTACAGGGATTCGCTGAACAATTGCGGCAAGAAAAGTAGCAAAAGAGGGCAAAACTCACTGAACACGTGTCTCGCTTAGCGAGAGAATTTTTTTTTTGGGGGGGGGGTTCAATTGTCCTAAGTTGAGGACTATATTAAGCCTGATTGTCCTTCCAGTTTCCATGAGTCATTTCAAGACGCTAGAATCTTTTCTGGATTGGATTGGCTTTCTTTGGGGTTGCTGCCAAGCCCTACAAGGAGGATATTAATGTCCCACATGGTTTAAAGCAAAGGTCTCCAAACTTGGCCACTTTAAGATTGGTGGACTCCAACTCCCAGAATTCTCCAGCTGGCTGGAGAATTCTGGGACTTGAAGTCCACCAGTCTTAAAGTGGCCAAGTTTGGAAGGCCCTGGCCTAAAGTGATGCTGTATAAAGGATATTTCCACCATTGCAATGAATTAAGCCTGTGACCGTGAGATCCAAGGAGAAGGGATCAAGAAAACTCAAGAGCGATGCCAGCATTGGCACAGTGGCACCATGCCAGAGCCCCATCCCTTTAAAAAAAATTTTTTTTTTCACATTGTTATGTTGCATGCACGCCCCACATTATGAAAGTGGAAAATCTGCTTTTGTAATTCAGAGGAGAATGCTAAGTGATTGCCTGGGGTGAAAGGAAGGACACAGGCCAGCAAACAGCCACTTATTATATTTAAGCCCTGGGATATACAAATTCTGCTTGGTCTCTTACACCATACATGAGAAACGGAGGCGTGGGAACAGCATCTCATCAGAGGGGGTATTCAGCAGGTTCTGACCAGTCCTGGAAAATCAGTAGCGGAAATTTTGAGTAGTTCAGAGAACTGGCAAATCCCACCTCTGACTGGCCCCGCCCCCATCTATTCTCCGCCTTCTGAGTCCCAGCTGATTGGCTGGGTCTTCGTTGGTTGCCCTGTACAGGAGAACGGAGCTGGAAAGCAGGTTAGTGGGGTGGGGAGGGAATGGGGATTTTGCAGTAAACTTCTCCTGCCATGCCCACCAAGCCACATCTACAGAAACGGTAGTTAAAAAAAATTGAATCCCACCACTGCATCTCACCTGTGGCGGAATGGAAGGCCGTGCTTGGGAAGTCAACAGAGGAGGAACAGGGCGTGGCGGGTCCTTCATCTGGACAGATGTGAGAGGCTGGGGGCTCCCACTGGACATTTTCCCAGGGCTTCGACTCTGGGGACTGAAAGAGCCAGCTCTGAGTGCGCCCTGGATTCTGTGAGTCATGGTCTCGGGGTTTTCAAACTTTGGAGAGATGGGAAATGTGAATCCAGAAGAGGCAGAGGAGGAAGAGGAGGCGAGCAGGTCTGGTGCCAGAGCGTTTGGCAGGTTTGAAGGGGAAGTCTCAGACTGCCACCTACTGCCCAGACTGGGCGCCTGTGCCTGGGGGGACGAGCTGGCATGGCCCGGGAGGCCCGGGGAGGAAGGATATTCCTCCGAATTCTTCACCCTTGGCTCTTTCACCACCTGGACATAGTTGGCTGGAAAAATACCCTGGCGGTTTGTGCCAGAGATGCGACCTTCATACCAGTTCTCGTCTACCCTACGGACAAGGCAGATATGTTCACCCTGGCAACAGAGAAAAGAAAAAAAAAAGTTAGCATACCGTGGGAGCGTGTAAAGTCCCGAGGCTGAAAGACACACCCAAGAAGAGATTGTCTGTCCTTCTCAACAACCACTTTGAAGTTAAAGGCCACCCAGCTTGTTCCGGGCAACAATAGGTATGATATTCATTTGTTTGTGTGATGTGTGTGCGTATGTGCATTTCTACGGCCTCCCTTATCATCAGTGGGATATGGGGGTGTAGGATGGGAACAGCAGTAATTCTGGGTGGTGTACAACATTAAAGCAACAATGACTCCTTAATTCACAGCACAACATCTTGAATACATCTGAAAGATCTCTGAACCAGGCCACCTGTTACCCTACAATACTTGTCTCTGTGGCCTTTTGACCGGTTGAGTAACAGCAACCAGTTTATTTATTTACTCCATTTATTTATTTACTTTTTCACATTTTCTTTCGCCATGGTGGCGCAGTGGTGAGAATGAAGTACTGCAGGCTTTTTCTGCCGATTGCCGGCTGGTTGCAATTTGGCAGTCCGAATCTCACCAGGCTCAAGGTTGGCTCAGCCATCCATCCTTCCAAGGTCAGTAAAATGAGGACCCAGATTGTTGGAGGCAATAGGCTGACTCTGTAAACTGCTTTACAGGTGGCTGTAAAGCACTGTGAAGCATATAAGCCTATAAGTCTAAGTGCTATTGCTATTTCCTCAGTTTATTTATTTACTTTTTCACCACATTTTCTTTTCTCCAAAAGGTCAACAATGTCCCAGACCCCCACAGCTGTGGGGAGGAGAATGCTCCTCTCAAATATGATTGTTATAGATATTCTTAAGCTTTATAAAATCATAAGTTCCCTGGAGCAAATCATTTGTTCAACAACTAAACAACCAACTTGATCTTGCAAACAGACAACCTCTGTCCTTTCTCCAGAAGCTGCTAATTGCTAGGTCTCTTTGAATTAAACATGAAAGCAGTTTTCAGCATTGATGTTCAAAAGTGGCAGTACATGATTTATGACACTGTTCCATCGCCACAGGAGGTGCCTCTTGCCTTTTTTTCTAGAGGCCCTAAAATATGACTGGCTGCCTCAGAGATCCATTTATGAGAAGCAGAGACAGCCAACCAGCCGCACATCGGTGGGAGAGGAATGAACTGGCTTGCAGCCCAGACAAGCCACGGGAGGAGGCTCCGAAGCCTTTTGGTGGCTGGCTCCACTCTGAGTAAGAATGTATGTTTCTGCTAATATGTGGACTTCGATACCTTTCGAAAGGACAACTCTACCGCCAAGTCTCCTTTGAAGTTGTACTGGGCCACTGCTTCCCCATACTCCAAGACTTGGAGGGAGGGCACTTTGATGGGCTTGGGAATTTCGGTTGGAGGCAGGACCTGTGTTGAAAAAGGAAGCAGCAGCAACAACAGGGTTATGGCTTTAATCTGGGATACAGGTTCCTTAGAGAAAGAGCTCACCTGAGCATCAAGCACCTTTACTGGAACACATCATTGGCAGCGAAAGTATGAAAATGTCTGTGTGTGCGACACTTTTGTCATCTGTCCAGGACATAGGCCTGCTCCGATTTTGTTCCTGAACATCAGAACAACAGCTGTTTTCTTAGTTAAAAGGTAAAGGTTCCCCTCGCGCATATGTGCTACTCGTTTCTGGCTCTAGGGAGCGGTGCTCATCTCCATTACAAAGCCAAAGAGCCAGCACTGTCCGAAGATGTCTCCGTGGTCATGTCGCTGGCATGACTAAATGCCAGAGGAGCACGGAACGCTGTTACCTTCCCACCAAGGTGATCCCTATTTTTCTACTTGCATTTTTTTACATGCTTTCGAACTGCTAGGTTGGCAGAAGCTGGGACAAGGAACGGGAGCTCACTCTGTTATGTGGCGCTAGGGATTCGAACCACCGAACCGCTGACCTTTCTGATCGACAAACTCAGCGTCTTAGCCCCTGAAATCCCTGTAATATAGGCAGAAGTCGACTAAATTGCTACCTTAAGCTATTCCTGAGTAGCTCTGGTTTCCTGGGTCTGACAATGCATGTTTGCTGTCCTCATTGCCAACCTCTAACATATCTCTACACTACGGCATCTATTCTGAGTCACTGTTGGATTCTGCCGACCTGATTTGCCTTATCTCACGATAGGTAAGATTCATTTTTCTTCCATTCTCTCTAGCCAGCGGTGGGGAAATCAGTCACCAATCAGGCCACTGAAGCAGGAAGGCAGAGAGTCTTGAGTTTGGGACTTTGTGTTGGCTGGTATATCTGCCTTTACTCCCTTTACCCCCATTTGAGCAGCTCCCAAGACAAAATAATGGGCAAGGAAGCAACACAGGCAAAGGTGCCAGGCCTGAAACAGATCCAGAAAGAAGCAAGAGAATAAATAAAATGCTAAGGGAGAGGACTGTGGGCTAGGAACACCTGAAGGAACCACACATAAAGGTTTATCTATTGTCATAACATTATGAAATCTATTCCAAAGGGAAACATATCATATAATTTTTCAACAGTTGGGAAAAATGGCTTCAAAAACTAAAAATGGTCAGATTCCAGAATTTTGGAATATAATTCAAAATAACAATAACATTTTAATTATGAAAACCTTTACCTATAAATCTTATGCAAACTTACACATTTATAACAAACATATGTTCCATTATTCCCACCCCCTCCAAAACACACCAGTAATAAGTAAGCATTATGTGGATTAACATACCTCAATTTTATCTGTTGCCAACAAAGAAAATCTGTACTAAAGATGTTTTCTGATGCCATCTTGGAATCACAATATTCCCCACATCTAATACTGGTGCCCTGACTTTGTCTCCACGCCAATGGAAGACAGAGGAATAATTGAGCCATGGGTCAAGGCCTACATTCAAATAGCCTTAATGAAAGGATCTTTCATTTGCTACTCATATATAGGCCAGTGATGCAAAATGAATGAAATCTCCCTAAAGGGATTTTGGGTACCACTTGAGGTCACCCAAAGTTTTCATTGAAGTATATTTCAGAAAAAGAAAATGGTTTTCAAAACATGGGCTAATCAGAACAATTATTTCGTGCCATTGACTAATTTTATCACATCTAAATTCAATCACACTTATCATTTGTCCAGGCCCAGCTTATTCAGAGACTAACTGTGGCCTTTGGCTCTACAATGCATGACACAACACTGGTACTCATTAAGAGACCACAACAATGCAAATTAACAGCTCCAAAGCTGCCAGCAACTCTTCTATTCCAGAATAATTGCAGTATTCATAATGCCTTAAAAGGTCTAGACGGGGGCTCTTCAAACTTGACAGCTTTAAGACTTGTGGACTTCAACTCCCAGAATTCCTTCTCCAGTCATGTTAGCTCAGGAATTCTGGGAGTTGAAGTCTTGCCAAGTTTGAAGACCCTTGGTCTAGGTGAATAATAGAAACATAATTTAATAATATGATAATAGAAACGTAAATATAGAAGGTATGTTTGTCAACATCCAGCATGGCGAAACAAAACAAGATTTTTACTACTAATTTTGCCCTTCAGCAAGTGGGGATCCTGAATTCTTAAAAAGTTACCCCCTTCCCCCCATTTCTCCTCTCTCTTCTGTATAGGTATACGAAAACCTATTTCAATTTTACCGGGGCAGCCAAAAAGTCCCGATGGCCCCAGAAGCTTACCTCCACGTAATTAGCAGGGAAAATGCCCACCCTGCCGTGGTGTTCTCCTTCAAGCCAGTTTTTATCTACTTCTTTGTGGATGTACACAATGTCCCCCTTCTGCAGGGTCAGTTCTCTGAAAGACAAACAGGTAACACATAAGGACCCCTGTTCAAAGTTATTTCAGAGCAAACCTCCATCCCGGGTCTCTTCAAGCCACTCCCTGGGTTTGTACCAGCCACTTCTTGCTCTCAGGTGAATGCCTTAATGCCATGATGATTGAGACAAATCGAGCCTTTTGCGTCGATCCTTTCGTTGGGTCCAAAGAATGTAGCTGTGGCTTTTTTTTTTTCAAAGCTACGTTGCTCCAGGAAATATTCTGCGGAGGAGAGGAGGGTGTGTTCGAGAACACATTCTCCACTCAAGCAGAAAAACAGTGAGAGTTGAAGGATTTGGCCAAAACTTCACATAAGAAGACCATGTGACCTAGAATGGGGTGAGGAATCGTGTTGCACTTGGAAAACACACGGTCTTTTCTCTGTTTGGTTTATTCGATTTCAACCCCACCTTTCGCCTCTGAATATTTATTGATTAAAGAACATTTATATGACTCCCTACTCACTCGCAGTGACTCTGGGTAGCTTCCAACAATAAAAAAAAATTGCATCTGCAATGCACCAAGTAGTTCATTCACTGTGATACAACACAATACATTTCCTGACAAAGGGCCACAATTGACCATAATAGACATTGCCTGGGGCCACACTCCAAGAAGTGATAGCTGAAGCAGAACAAAAGAACAGAATAACAGAGTTGGAAGGGACCTTGGAGGTCTTCTAGTCCAACCCCCTGCCTAGGCAGGAAACTCTACACCACTTCAGACAAATAGTTATCCAACATCTTTTTTAAAACTTCCAGTGTTGGAGCATTCGCAACTCCTGGAGTCAAGTTGTTCCACTGATTAATTGTTCTGACTGTCAGGAAATTCCTCCTTAGTTCTAAGTTGCTTCTCCCCTTAGTTAGTTTCCACCCATTGTTTCTTTTCCTGCCCTCAGGTGCTTTGGAGAATGGCTTGACTCCCTCTTCTTTGGGGCAGCCCCTGAGATATTGACTTCATTTACCGTTTTAAAATTTCAGTACAATTCATTGTGTTCGGGCCTATATTTGAAAGCTATATCCAATTATATCAAATGCTATAATTTAGTAACCACCTTTAGAAACCTCTGGTGGCCATGCCGAAGGCTTTCAACAGCTCAAGAGCGACCTTGGGCCTCAATTCTGTGCTACAACAATCACAATTCACCAGCGTAGCAACGGTGCCAAGGCGCTAAAATATGATACGACTGCTAAAGGCTGCCAGATCTCGCTACTTACTTTGGCGACTCTGCTTGGAAATCAAATTTGAGGCGAGCAGCTTTCATCTGTCAGGAGGAAGAGAAATAAGTTAAAAGCAGACACAGAGTCCAAAACCCATTTAAAGGGCACTGAGGTATAAAGAGAAACCGGGTACTTCGCCAGTATAGTAAAACATTTTTTAAAAAAACAGTCAAGAACACAACTACAGGTAGTCCTCCATGGGTAACCACAACCAGGCCCAACATTTCTGTCGCTAAGCGAAACAGTTGTGAAATGAGTTTGTGAAGAGAATCACTGCCAGTTAGTAATAAGCTGTCGTTAAGTGAATCTGGCTTCCCCATTGACTTTGCTTGTCAGAAGGTCACAAAAGGGGATCATGTGATCCCTGGGACATTGCAACCGTCATAAGTACGAATCAGTTGCCAAGCATCCAGATTTTGTTCCTGTGACTATGGAGATGCTGCAATGGTCATAAGAGTGAAAAACAGTCGTAAGTTACTGTTTTCAGTGCTTTAATAACTTCAAACGGTCACTAAATGAACTATAAACTTTACATAATTGTAATAATTGTGCATAAACTTTTATTTTTATGTACACTGAGAGCATTTGCACCAAGACAAGTTCCTTGTGTGTCCAACCACACTTGGCCAATAAAGGATTCTATTCTATTCTATTGTAAATCGAGAACTAAGCATGCTGGTAAGGCCTAGAGCAGTGGTGGCTAACCTTTTGGGGCTCCTGTGCCAAAAATTGTGCGCGCGCTTGCATGCTCGCGTTTGTGTGCCAGTACCCAGAAGGCAATGCGCGCCCCTCCACGCCCCCTATGCATACTCACGCAAACCCTACTCACCCACCCCGTCGCCCTCTTACCTGCACGGCGCCCCACAGCTGATTTTTTGCCGGTTTGAGTCCTTTTTTGGCCTCCCAGAGGCTTGAGGAAAGCTTCTGCAGGCTTTGGCAGGCCAAAAACTAGGCCTGTTTCATCACTTCTGGTATTTCCGGAAAAACTGGAAGTGACGAAATGGGCCTAGTTTTTGGCCTGCAAAGTCTGCAGAAGCCTTCCCCAAGCCTCTGGGAGGCTGAAAAAGATGTGCCAGCACAAATGGCGTGCCATAGGTTCACCATCAAGGGGCCTATAGAATACTGGAAGTGGAACAGGTACCTTAAGCAATGGAAAATAGCAATAGCAATAGCCCTTAGACTTATATACCACTTTATAGTGCTTTACATCCCTCTCTGAGCAGTTTACAGAGTCAGCCTCTTTCTCCCAAACAATCTGGGTCCTCATTTTACCCATCTCAGAAGGATAGAAGGCTGAGTCAGCCTTGAGCCTGGTGGGATTTGAACTGCCAAATTGTGGCAGCTGGCTGCAGCAGTAGCTTGCAGTACTGCACTCTAACCACTGCGCCACAGAGGCTCCTCCCAATCTAAGCTCTTTTGTAATGTTTAATTCACGCCCTAATCTCACTTATTCTTGAGAGGCTGACAAACACTCAATGATGCAAGGGAGGTTTTGTGTTTGCCAAATTCCTGCACAAAGTTTTACAATTCCTCTCCAAGACCTAAAGTTACCCTGTCAATCAGGGACGGAGAGGCACACTTGTATTCTGGTAAACTGGCAACGTGTGGAAAGCAAAATATCTGGATGGCAAGTCTCTCATCAATTTACTTTTTCTCTCAGTGAGAGCAGAAAAATTAAAGCAAATGAACCAGTGGTACAAATATGGCTTAGTTATTATTTAGTTCACGATAATAAAACAGGTTAAAAGAGGTTGGAAAATTCGTGGCCCTTCAGATGTCCACCTCAGGTTGTAGAAGTTATCCCCATGTATTTAGAAAAGGGGTCTCCAAATCTGGCCACTTTTAAGACTTGTGGGTTTCATGCTGGCTGGGGAATTCTGGGAGTTGAAGTCCACAAGTCTTAAAGTTGCCAAGTTTGGAGGTGCCTGATTTAGAAGAAGCTGGATTGAGAAAGACTGACAGCCCACAAAACTTCAGTCTGCCTCCTTTTTCTGTGGAAAGTGCATCTCACCTTCTTCTCATCTCTCTTGGGAGGACTATCAAGAAGGATTTCCGAAGAGTCAAGAAAGGGACTTTGCCCAGGGAGTCTCAGAGGATCTGGATGAAGAAAATAAGGGAAAATAAGGTGAATCTTTTGAATTGAAAGGAAAAAGGAGAGCTAACTTTCAACCAATCATATAAAACGAAATTCCAACAAGAGACTTTGCAAGGAACAGCAAATCCACATTATGCTGAGTAGAGATACTCATCTCCAACCAATCCACAATACTTCCCTTAGAGCAAACTACTCTCTTACCCCATTTCTCTTATTTTACACATTCTTTTAATTTGAACACATACACACACAAAACACAGCCACCCAAATGAGCAAGTTTAGATCGGTGGGTAGCTCAGTTCTTTTTTGGGAAGTATGTTCATTGGCCCAGAAAAGAGGGCGGGAACTGGAAGTAAAATGAAATGGAACAGAGCATGTTGGCAGGACCTAAAAGGATTAATTGGGAGCAATTCTACGATTTGTTTTCTGAGAGATGAGTGACTTGAGATTGGCTACAGCTCCCGAAACAGCAACAGAAAGGAAGCGTGTTTGATTGCTCTCCAAAAGCCTACTTGGTTCCCCAGCATCAAAAAAATTATCCATCTACTCAAAATGCTTTTGTGTCACTACACTCAATCTATATTGATCAAGGAGCAAAGGAAAACATTTTAGGAGACCCTTCAGTGTATTTCATCTTTCTTAACAAGAATTATCCACAACACAACAAAATAGCTGACCACCCACGATATTATGGCAAATTTCCAGAGTTGGATGCTTCAGCCCAGGGATTTGCTGACTTAGCTGCAATGTGCATCATATTAGCATTAATATGTGAGTCAAACTGTAATGAGGAGGTGGAGAGGAAAGGACAATCTTCAGCCCAAAAGGGAAAAAAAAGGGCTTATTCTTAGTTTGACGTATTCTTAAGGAAATAATGTTCCATATTTGTATCTCTAAAGAGAGTGCAACTCGTAGAAAAATATATATAGTGCATTATTTTAGAAGGGAGATTAAGAAAGAATATATACTATAAATGTTTTCAGAAGTTTTTTTTTTTAAAAAAACATACACTAAGAAACCTAGCAAGAAAGATTCTAAAGTATTTTTTGTTGTCCACTTACATAGATGGGAATTAAGTGTCGCCGAGTCTCTTTTCTGTCCAGAAGATGTACAACATGAACTATTCCACCAATTTGGACAATACACTTCCTATATGAGATCTGAGAAGATCCATTTTACTTCCAGCCTTTTCTTCCAAATTGGCACTCGGTTACAGAAGGTGGCAAAGCACACTCATTTTCCAGAGAATATAAAGCGTTTCCCCGAAAATAAGACCCAACCGGAAAATAAGCCCTTGTATGATTTTTTCAGGATGCTCGTAATATAAACCCTGCTCCAAAAATAAGTCCCAGTTAAGATCATCAGCCAGATGGATGCATTTGATGCAATATTTCCCTGAAAATAAGCCCTAAAAATTAATATAAGATCTGGTCTTATTTTGGGGGTATAAGTATATTGATCCCCTTGAATTGTTGAATTGACATGCCCACATTGTTCCATATAAACCCTTAGCCATACCGTTCCTGGGTAGAGAATTGCTCCAAGTACTCCTGGTGACACCTGGGCTTCCTTTCTCCATCCTTGGGCTGGCTGGTATGTGGCCCTGGGCTAAACGATTGACACCTGAAGTGGGCGATGGGCTGCCAGGTAAGAAAAGATGGGGACGCAGTGAAAACAAGCTCAACCCAACCAATATAAGCAGTAAAATCAGATCCGCTTATAATGCTTAACTCACTGACACTTGACGTACATACGGCATCTTGGACTCCATCATATCTCTCCACATTTCATATCTGCAATCTGACTAGGACCAACCCCACTTGTACTCCGTACAACGGAGCCGTGGTGGCACAGTGGTTAGAATGTAGTATTGCAAGCTAACTCTGCCCACAGCCAGTTCGATCCTGATAGGAGTCAAGGTTGACTCAGGCTTCCATCCTTCCAAGGTCGGTAAAAAGAGGGCCCAGATTCCTAGGGGGAACATACTGACTGAATAAACTGCTTAGAAAGGGCCGTAAAGTACAATTATAATGCTAATCTTATCCATCTTCAATAAAAGGAAAAACATACCATATAGAAAGGAGGCCTTTGCATCTTGGAGATGGGAATACAGTCAATCAATAATCCATGAACAAGCAGCACCTCTCGGGGATCCTTTCCAATATTGAAAGATTCTACTTTCCTCAACTTCTCCTCAAACTCTCCTCTATTTCTAAGACTAGCTGTGGTCCATCCAAACCTCCTTCTCTTGTCCTTGTAGAATCAAAGCTCAGAAGTTGAGGAGGTTGTATCTCCAGCACAAATAAGTAGCGGACCTCTCTGAAAATCTCACCAGGGGCCTCTAGAGATATCTTAGCAAGACAAGGTCAAGCTGAACAGGAAGTGTTGAGGCAACAAGAAAAACCTGGCAAACAGCAACTATTTGGCTGATGTACAACTTTGGCCCTTCTCAATGTTTTAATGCAGGGTCGTTCCAACCTTGGCAACTTTAAGACTTGTGGACTTCAATTCCCAGAATTGCCTAGCCATCTATGCTGGCTGGGCAATTCTGAGAGTTGAAGTCCACAACTTTTAAAGTTGCCAAGGTGGACAACCCTGTTTTAATGTTTAAAGAGACAGCATCCACTTTCCATGCAAAGTAACCCATATTTTAGCTAGCATTAGACTAACCCAACCCTCAATATTTAAATAACCTTCCCTCCAAGCTACCCCTAAATATATTGAGTTGCTGAAATTGAGAACTTCTTAGCTGCCTCACAATTATTTGGTTTAGCAGGTTTTTTTGGCCATACCTTTAAGTATACTTTTACAGAATAGAGTACGTTTAAAAAAAAACCATGATAGTTATACGATGTGCTAGAAATGTATATGGACTAATAACAATTGTATTAGACAAGTGTGTGTTTGTGTGTGTGTGTGTGTGTATCTATATCTATCTATCTATCTATCTATCTATCTATCTATCTATCTATCTAT